ATTTTGGAGTCGTGGTCCCCCTCTTGGGCGCATCTTGGGGCTGTCTTGGAGCTCTGTTGGGCTGTCTTGGGCGACTCTGGGACCGTCTTGGGGCCTTCTTGGGCCGTCGTGGGGCGCTCTTGGGGGCCTATTGAGCCGTCTTGGAACGTCGGACAGCCGAAAAGGCTGGAAGGCCAAAGTCGTTTGAAAACCTTCGTAAAATTGACGATTTCGGCATCTTGAAGCGCTGTGGAGAGGCGTCTTGAAGCGTCGTGGAGTGCCTTGGGGGCCTCGCGGGCCCTCTTGGGCCTACCTTGGGCGTCCTGGAGCGGTCTTTCGGCGACTCGGGGCCCGCTTGGGCCGTCTTAGGAGCCTCTGGAGGCCCTCCTGGACTATTTTGGACCTCCCCGGCCGCCCCGTCCTCCCACGGGGTGTCGGAGGCGGCGGCCTCCGAGGCCCAGGACGCGGAAACCCTGCAAAAATTGCCAAAGAGAGTTCGAAGAGGGCCCCAAGACGGCTCAAGTGGGGTTCAGGAGTGACCTCGAGACCCCAAAGACAGCCAAGAAGGCTCCAGGACCGCTCCCAGACAGGGCTCACAGGGGCACCCGACCTGACATTTCCAGCCTCCCTCCCCAAAGAGAGCCCTAGAAGGCCCCCCAAAGCATCCAGAATGCCCCAAGAGGCACCCCACAGGCCCCCAAGAGGCCTGCAAGAGGCCCCCAAACCGCCCAAGACGGCCCAAGAGGCATCCAAGAGGACTCCCAAGAGGGCCCGCAGAAGCAAAAATTGCCCCACTCCCTTCGGAAAACGTACATTTTTATAATATTCGCCCAGAGGCCTCCAAGCTCGCGCCAAGACGGCCAAAGAGGGTCCCAGAGGGCCCCAAGATCGCACCAGACGGCCAAAGAGAGTTCGAAGAGGGCCCCAAGACGGCTCAAGTGGGGTTGAGGAGTGACCTCGAGGCCCCAAAGACAGCCAAGAAGGCTCCAGGACCGCTCCCAGACAGGGCTCACAGGGGCACCCGACCTGACATTTCCAGCCTCCCTCCCCACAGAGAGCCCTAGGAGACCCCAAGAAGGCCCCCCAAAGCATCCAGAATGCCCCAAGAGGCCCCCCACAGGCCCCCAAGAGGCCTGCAAGAGGCCCCCATGAAGCCGAAGATGGTCCGCAGACAGTCCCCCAAACCGCCCAAGACGGCCCAAGAGGCATGCGGCATCCAAGAGGACTCCCAAGAGGGCCCGCAGAAGCAAAAATGGCCCCACTCCCTTCGGAAAACGTACATTTTTTTAATATTCGCCCAGAGGCCTCCAAGCTCGCGCCAAGACGGCCAAAGAGGGTCCCAGAGGGCCCCAAGATCGCACCAGACGGCCAAAGAGAGTTCGAAGAGGGCCCCAAGACGGCTCAAGTGGGGTTCAGGAGTGACCTCGAGGCCCCAAAGACAGCCCAAGAAGGCTCCAGGACCGCTCCCAGACAGGGCTCACAGGGGCACCCGACCTGACATTTCCAGCCTTCCTCCCCAAAGAGAGCCCCAGGAGACCCCAAGAAGGCCCCCCAAAGCATACAGAATGCTCCAAGGGGCCCCCCACAGGCCCCCAAGAGACCTCCAAGAGGCCCCCAGGCAGCCGAAGATGGTCCGCAGACAGCCCCCCAAACCGCACAAGACGGCCCAAAAAGACCCGAGGGGCGACCGGGGCGGGGACGGCGTCGACGCCGACGACGCCGACGACGGAGGATTCTCTCTGGGATCCGAGGGCCTCTGCGCTGGCCCGGGGCGGGAGGTGCCACCGCAGGAGGGCCACGGCGCGCATGACGTCGAGGAGGCCGTTTTCTTGGACCAGCGGCGGCGGCGGTCAGAAGTGCGGCTCGTCCGCACTGTCCGTTGTGAGGTTCCTCGGGGCTGTTTGGGAGCCTCTTGAAGCCTCGTTCGGGCCTCATGGGTGCCTCTGGGGGGTCTCCTGGGGCCTCTTGGGGCCCCTTTTGGGCCTCCCGGGGCCCTGTGGAGGCGGGAGGCTCGAATTTCGGGTTCGCGGTTCCCCTCTTGGAGCCCTCTTGGGGCCGTCTTGGGCATCTCTTCGCCTGTCTTGGGCGCGTCTTGGGCCGTCTTGGGGCCCTCCAGAACCGTCTTGAGCCCCTCTTGGAGGCCTCTTGGGCTGTCTTGGGGCGTCCGCGGGGGGCCTGTGAGCCGTCGTGGAGCGTCGGAAAGCTGAAAAGGCGGCAAAGGCAAAATGTATCCAAAACCTTCGTAAAATGAACGAGTTTGGCCTCTTGGGGCCCTCTGGGGGGGCCTCGTGGAGGCCTCTTGGAGCGTCTTGGGGGCCTCTTTGGCCGTCTTGGGCTTATCTTGGGCATCTTGGGGCCCTCTTGGCGCCCTCTTGGGCCTCTTGGAGCCTGCTGGGCCTGTCGTGGAGCGCTCTTGGGGCACTCTTGGGCCGCCTGGGCTGCTCCAGGGAGGCTCCAGGCGTAGATTTTTCATTGCGTAGATTTGAATTTGCCCAGTTTCAAAAATCCTGAACCCACCAATCTTGTCATCTCTTGGGGCACAACTTCTTCGTCCACCGACTTCCGCCAGCTTTCCGCCCCATTCCACCGCTGGAGCCGCCCCCGTTTTACTTCCGACGCCTTGCGCCTTCACCCTGCCGGCTTCCGCCAAGGCAGCGACGTCAAACTCTCGACCTCTCCAAAGCGAGGCCAATTCTGGAGGGAATCGCTGGTTTCGCCGACGGCTGGTTTCGCCTGGCTAATTTCGCCGACGGCTGGTTTCGCCGACGCTGGTTTTGCCCGGCTTGTTTCGCCGACCCGCCCGCTGCTTTCGCATTGCTGGCTTCGCCGACCGTTCGCGTGCTGGCAATCCCGCCCGCCCGCTTTAGTGTCCCGCCCGCCTGACCCGCCCGTCAGAGACACGCCGTCAAGGTCCCGCCCGCCCAGCGAAACCTGTGAGGGTCCGGGGGCTCGAAACAGAGTGAAGGCGCGTGCTGTGAAACACTGGGAAGGCCAGGATCTGATGGGGTGCACTGCATGAGGGCCCACCCCGTCTGGACGACGAGCGCCCGCTGGAACGACGAGAGCCCAGTGGGTCTGCCACGCGTCCCGAGCAAGTAGGGCCTTGGCACGTGATGCGCCCGCTGGACGGCCGAGGGTGTCAAGACCAGCAGGCCTCCTTCTCCTCAAACTCCTCCTCCTCCTCTCCTCCTCCTCCTCCTCCTCCTCCTCCTCCTCCTCCTCCTCCTCCTCCTCTCCGTCCCCTCTCCCTCTCCCTTCCTCCCCCTCCTACCATCTCGTTCCTCTTCCTCTCATCATCCCACCTCCTCCGCCTCCTCCTCCTGCTCCTCCTCCTCCGCCTCCTCCTGCTCCTCCTCATTCTCCTCGTCCTCGTCGTCCTCCTCCGCCTCCTCCTCCTCCTCCTCCTCCTCCTGCTGATCCGTGTGGATAATAACTTCTGGGTCATCCTGGCATGGACTCCGAGCTCCTCCTCCTCCTCCCTCCTCCTCCTCTCTCTCTCCTCCTCCTCCTCCTTCTCCTCCTTCATTCCTTCCTTCCTTCTCTCCTCCTCCTTCCTCCTCCTTCTCATCGTCGTCCTCCGAATCCTCCTCCTCCTCCTCGTCCTCCTCTCCCTCCTCCTCCTCCTCCTCCTCCTCCTCCTCCTCCTCCCCTCCTCCTCCTCCTCCTCCTCGTGCCTCCTCCTCTCCGCTCCTCCTCCCCTTCTCCTCCTCCTCCTGCTCCTTCTCCTCCTACTGTTGATCCGTTGATGAAGATCTGGGTCATCCTGGCATGGCCTCACAGCTCCTCCTCCTCCTCCTCCTCCTCCTCCTCCTCCTCCTGCCCCTCGTCCTCCTCTTTCTCATCGTCGTCCTCCTCCTTCTCGTCCACCTTTTCCACCTCCTTCTCCTTCTCCGCCTCCCTCCTCTCTCCTCCCTCCTCCCTCCCCCCTCCTCCTCCTCCTCCTCCTGCTCCTCCTCCTCCTCCTCTTCTTCCAGACATCCATTGGGGACGCAATCATACTTCCGCCGACTTCCGCCAGCGGCCCAGCCGCCTCCATCCGCCAGCCTTCCGCTGAGGAAAACATGTCACCACCTTCGATTCTCGAAGGAGAGGCCCTTTGCGGAATGCCTCCCATGGGGCGCAACGTTCGGGATACAGCACACGGGGTGCACGCTAGTGGAGCAGTCTGCAGGGTGCAATCCATGGGGTCCGCATTCTGTGTTCTGCACGCCCTATGGGGTGATGGGAGATAATCGGGCCAACCCAAGCAACCCGCAACGCAACTTGTCCACGCACAATCCATCGCACAGACCACCGCGCCCGCACCGCGCAACCCACCGCGAAAACCACCGCGCAACCACGGCGACGGCCACGACCAGAAGCTGGCGCACGGGATCAGTCGACGCGCGACGCGTGAGCTGGCGACGGCCACGGCCAGAACCCAACGCACGGGGGCTATTCCCCAATGTACGAAAAAGGCTCACTTTGTGCACTATCTGTCTGGACACTTACGCCCGTAAAATGAAAATGCAGTCCAAACGACACACCTCTGCTAGAGACATTAAACCTTCTGAACATAACTTGTGAGTAGGTCTCACTCGAAACACATGACCCGCCGTACCGACACGCCTGATGGTGAAGACTTTCATGAAGAGGACGGATCGAAGATAGGCGGTGGATTGGCAGGGGCAGGGGGCAGAGTTGGAGGGGGGGCGATGACGAGGGCAAAGGAGCGCGGGCACGGGGAGCTGCAAGCTCGTTCCGGCTCAACCTTCTGTGGACCTGGTGGACCTTCTGCGCTCGGCACCAGGCCTGGATTCGGGCGCGAATTTGTGGGGGGGCGATGAATCGGGGTGGGACGACTGTGCCCTCTTCGGGCCCCAAGGACCCCCTTTCGGGGCCCGAAGGGGCCTCTTTAGAAGCCCGAGAGGGCCCTTTACGGCAGCCTTCGCTGCCCCCCTCATCTATCGCCCCCCCTCTTCTATCGCCCCCCTCATCTATCGCCCCTATTGCCCCCTCATCTATCGCCCCCCCATAATTACGCGGCCTCCAAGGACGGAATCTGGCGCAACGGCCGGGTGACTGTCACCCACTTGCCGCTGCTCCCACGCTCTGCCGGCATTTGCCGCAGCCCGCTCGGCGGCCACGCGCCTGCGTCTCGCCCCGGCGCCGCTGCCGCGGAGCAGCGACGCCCCCCACAGCCGCAGCGGGTGGCGCGCCGCTAGCGCTCGGGCGGCCGCAGGGAGGTGCTGTCCTGAGAGCGCTGAAGACCGCCCCCCCTTTGGGGCGCGAAGTAGCGGGGGGCGACAGATGGGGGGAGAGATAGGTGCCCTGTAAGGGGGGGGGGGGAGATTGGTGCCCTGGCAGGGGGGGGGGGGGAGATTGGTGCCCTGGAAGGGTTCCTTTTCTGTAGCCCACGCTGCCCCCCCGGCTATCGCCCCCCCCCCCTCATCGCGGCCCAGCACCCTCTTGAGCTGCACGGGGCCAGGGAGAGTGGCACGAGGCCGACCCCCACGGAGTGGCACGAGGCCGCCGCGCAGAGCAGACGAGGCCAAGACCTAGACAAGGTCGGACCAGTACAAATGTCGGGGATATCTCTGAGAGGCGGACGTTCTGGAGGATGAGGAGAGAAGGAGGCGGAGCGTACCCTGAGCGGGTCCCAAGATCCACTCTACTGCATGGGCAGGGACAGGGGCCTGCTGCCACTCATCTCCTCCCCACTACTACTATCATCACTACTACTACCCGCCTCACTGCCCTCACTGCCCAGAGACGAGAGAGGCGGAGCACGCTCGGCATCGAGCGGCTTCACCCGCGGCACGACACCCGGCCTGCTCGAAGCCGATGAGGACCGTCCCGCCGTTGGTGTCGGCGGCGTTCCCGTCCAGGAAGGAGCACCTGCCTGCCTGTCTCCAGCGACGCTCCCTTCTGATTCAGAGGATGAACTGGACGATGACGAAGAGGATGAAGCCGTACGACTTGCCAGCACAGCCTTCTGCAGCTCTGATCGTCGAAGCATGTGCCTTTGAGCACCCCTCAGCGGCAGACGTACAGCCAGACGGGCGGCCTCGACCAGTCTGAGAGCACCTCCATACTGGGGCGCCTCCACATATGATCTCGACATGAGGCGATAATGATGATAGATCGCCATCAAGAAAGCCAGATTGCCACCTTTGACCCCAATCCTGAACGCCACTTTGCCTGGCAAGTCATGACGGAGTACCAGAGCAGCGAAGTGATGGCATCGCTGGCAGGATACAACATAGTGCCCGATGGCGTCGACACCGTGCTCGCAGCCATATATACACTGCGCATCTCTCTGCATCCGCCGATTCGTAATCCATCCTCCGAGGAAAGTTCTCAAAGCAACAACCGCCCAACTTGGAGGGACTGCCAGCAAGGTCCGTTGCACTGCCCGTAAGTCATCAGCTCGAATCCTGAAGTGCTGCCACAAACGCTGTCTGACCAGCTCCTCAAGCTTCGGCGGAAAGATGTTCCTCAACAGTATCTGATAGAAGATATTCTGCCATTTGGTCCTCGGGGTTCTCCTCACACTTTCACCCCGCGGATCTTCGCGACTGCAAAGCAACTTCTCCAGCTGTCCAGGGAGAGCAGCTGGCCCAAAGAGACGGGAAAGTTCACCTCTTCCAAGCTTCCCATCCCAGAGTGCTCGAGCCATAGTACCGCCACTGCCAAGGTGACGATCTTGTACGAAGCCGAATGCAGCTTGTTCCAAGAACCGTGCGAACGGTGGGCTCCTCCAAAAGGGTGGGGCCATGGCCGTAGCATTCCAGAGGGTAGCGCATCCCATGTCCGTCAGCACTTGCCGCAACCTTTCAAGCCTCGCCTGCCATGTAGAGCACGTCGTGAGGGCAGACCGCATGCGAGTCGCCGCCGCCAGCGCAAACATGGATGCGAACCTCGGGCCACCCCATTCAGCCAGAGTAAAGCAATCGCTCATTCTCAGCATCGAACTCGGCGCACGAAGAATCCGCGCGACCAGGCGGCGCTGCCGTTGACACTCCTTCTATCCAAGGGGGACCAACTGCGCGATATAGCCCAAGACAGGAAGCGCCCGATCAGCATACAGCTTAGCCGCAACTTGCACCGGGGCCCCTTGTCGGCTCAGCTCCACTGTACGAGAAGCATGCTTGGCAAGCGCCTCTGACCACTGTGCGTAAACCGTGGCTCCAGGGCCGATCTGAAATCCCAGATAAGTGCACGCATCAACCATTTGGAAGTCTGCCCACTCAGCGTCGGCATCGATCAAAATCTGTCGCAATTCCGAGGTGCACGGTTCACGAGCGGGTCCACGAAGAGGTATCACAAAACATTTGGCAGGCTTGAGCACCAGGTTGGCGAACAGACGAGCGTTGCGGAAAACACGAGCTAGCCTAGGGTATCCCCGATTCTTCCGAACGACTGCCCCCAGATCGTCTGCGCACGCACGAGCGGCCCCTAGGGACGATGAGCCGTTGTTCAGGGATACTTCGATATCCAGCAAGAACGAGTTGGCAGCAATGACATAAAGCGAACCACTTAACGGGCAGCCTTGCAAGACCCCTGAGTCCATGAAGTAGAGGAGAGAGAGGCTGGCACCACCATAGTAGCAGGGCGACCAGAAGTAAAGGACCTCGAGAGCACGTATTAGGGGGCCAGGAAGATGTAGGTGATGAAGGCACCGAAACAGCCACTTCTGACTGACTGAGGGGAACGCTTGTGCAAAATCAAATGTCATGAGGGACGGCGAGTTCGTCGGGTCATCCTGGGACACGACACTGGCAATCCGTGCAAATACATCAAGGTCAACCACATTGTTGAGGAAGTTCCGATGACGAATGAAGCCGTTCTGAGTTCTCGCACCTATCGTTTGGACGACCGACTGCAATTTCCCATTCAAGACCGAGCAGATCACCTTGTTCGACGTGTTCTTCAGCCCCAAGGGCCGCGTGTCACCAGCTGACCTTAGAACCCCTCCCGAGTCAGGTTCGCTCTGGGAACCCTTCGCCGATTTCGGAATGAACACCGCCAAGAGCGCCGAGAAGGAGGACGGCATGAGATTCCCCGCTAGGATCCACTGGAGCACCACCATAAGGACCTGAGGCCCGAGCCCAGACTTCCACGCGATGTAGTGCAGGCCGTCAGGGCCAGGAGCTGACCAAGATACCCGACGGAGAAAGCGATGAACATCCTCTATCATGGGGGGGCGGATGTTGGAGAAGTCGACGGTACTCGAGAACCTCCTTAGATATTGCTCACCTCCAGGGGGCACCTCAGAGACCTTGGAGAACACAGGGGCCCAGTATCTCGCCAGTCCGTCAGCGAGCCTATCTTCAGCCCCTACTGCCCGCCCATCTTCCCGAAGCTGTTCTCCCTGCTGAGCCCCATCATCAAGAAGCCCCGATAAGAATTTCCGCCGAGCTAGAGGATTCCACAGCTGGGCGCGACGATGAAGGGCCAGCTTCAACGCGACAATCCGTGAACGTCTGCCCGGGGCCTGTTCTCGATCAGCAGCATCTTCGAGAGCCTTTTTACGCCTCGCACACTCCTGTCTCTGAAGGTTGCCATGCAGGTCCTGGAACTTACCTGGGTCAAGGAACATGGGCACCTCACCGACAATGTGCACCAGGGATTGGGTCCAGGGATGCTGATGAAGGAGAACCCTCGCCAATCTCACATCGCTACGCCAGACCGCCCGAGCCAACGAACGAGAGACCATGGCCCGAGACGCCAAAGACGATGGAGACGCGCGGACAACTGCATCACGAACAATAGCTCCCGCACATTGCCGAATACGAGTGGCCGCCTCCAAGAGCCTCGGAGCATCCATCATCATGTCCTGAATCCCCACCACCTCCTCCAACTCCTTGACTACTTGCTCAAACAACCTATCCTCGCACACCCACCTCGGCAGGGGACGAGGGCGTGATGACATCTCCGTCGAACGAGGACCCAACGTCACGATGATCGGGGCATGGTCAGACATGCCGCGCTTCTTGAGCTCCTCCACCTCCCCCTCCACCCTGCAGTGCTGATGCGTCTGGCAAAGAACCCAGGGAGGCGACGCGATGAAGCAGCGATCGATTTTTCCAGCGGACTGGGTGCCCTCGTTCCAGTGCGTGGGCTTGTCGAAAGCGAGCTCCGTCATCTTCCTGAAGATCTTCCTCCAGGTGCTATCGCCAGCCTTGCCAGCGCGCGATGGCGAGGCTCGAGCACGAGCTGCAACATGTCTCTCCAGGCCGCCGTCGTGTGCAGCAGCCGCAGAGCCAGGCGTTGCTTTCCTGAACGCCGTGGCCACCTCACCCACCTCATCCGAAAGATTGAAATCGCCGATCAGGATGACCGAGCACATCATCGGGTCAAGTCTTACTTCAGCCACTTGCTTGACGATGACCATGCTGATGGCACGGATTCTGCTACAGTCCAGTCCATGATTGTGAACGTTCCAGTGGTACCACACGAAGCCACTGAGAGTGCACCGAATTTTCAAATACATAACTCTGCCAGGGACCATCACCACGTGCTCCGACACCTCCAGATTGTCTCTCATAGGAACCAGGGTGAGAAGACCGTCTGACTGCGTGGGGCCACTATGAGACTGGAACGCACGATGACGTACCCTCACACGATGCAGTAGCTCCAGAACCGCTCCCGCGTCACCATGCGTCTCCTGCACCGCCACAATCGTATCCACTTGCGCAAGCTTAGCAAGCATGACCGCCCGCCTTGAAGCTAACCTCGGATTAAAATGAAGAAGCGACGAAGCATTCCAACTCGCGAACCTGATAGACGCAGAGCCCAATAACGTGCTACCCACACCATTGTATGTCGCGCACAACGAACGTCTTACGGGCAAGATCAATGACTTGTTGGTGGCCCAGCCCGAGGTCGCCCAGCGCTGCCTGGTTCCACTCCACCTTCGGGACACGCGTGGTCGAGGAGGGAGTGATCTTCGCCAGTGGCTCCCACCTTGATAGCAGCTGGCCGCCCTCCCTGTCGATGAACGTGATGATGCCCATCTCACTCTACAATGCCTTGCGCAACTTCTTGCATGCCATCTCCGTGGCGACCTCCTTCCTGTTCTTGTCCACGGAGACGAAAATGGGAGACCGGCGCCCGCCCACCGTGACCGCGAAGTCCCTCCACCTTCCTGTCGGAAACCTGAGTGCCCCCTGGGCCTGACGACGCCGAGACTCTCTCGTCGCCTGCATAGGACCCAAGAAGGCAACCGTGAACTGCTTGCCCATGTCGTCCCCCACGAGCTCGGCCTCTTTCCCAAAGGCGAAGTTCGCGTCCTTGAGCCACTCCGTGAGCGCCTCCTGGACGCCGGCCTTGGGCACCATGTCGGGGGACCGCACCACGAGGATCGAGTGATCCACTGCCCTGTCCCAGTCAAATGACACGACAGGCACCTCTCGAGGACGAGCCCGCGCGAGATCGAGCTCCTTCTCCAGGTGTGCCAGCCGCTGCTCCAGCACCCGCGTGTGCCCCTCCACATTGGTGAGTCTGCCTCCTTGCTCGTCCAACTGATTCTGTACCCGCTTGATCGCATCCGCCCACTTCTTCTCCAGCTTCTCGAAGAGCGGGCCAGCAGCTCGCCCCAAGGCCGACGGGAGTTCCCGTGTGAGGGTCTCGAGCGCCAGCGCAGAGAACTCAGAGAGGGCCTGCTGCTTGAGGTCCTCCAACTGTCCGCCCACCAGTCCCGCGGCCCATGGATCGATCGGGGCAGCGGGGCGACGTGGGTCCAACCGACGACCTGCTCCATCTCGCTCGCCTCCAGCCATCTCCTGCGACGGGAAGGTGGGGGCTGCCTCCAGGGCGTCCAAGGCAGCTTCGAGCGCAGCATCTCGCATCTGGGTCCCGCCTCCATCCCTGCTCCCTGCAGCCCCTGACGTCGCTGCATCTCCAACATCATCGCAGCGCCGAGGACGGTCACCAGCATGACCACAGCCCGAAGCAGGTGGAGTCGAGAACCCTTCCGATGGCGAAGACCGTCTCGACCGCCTCGATGAGCGAGAGTCAGAGCGGTCCCTTCGCTCCTTGTCCTTCTTGGACTTCCTCTCCTTCTTGTCCTTCTTCGACTCCTTCCTCGGGGTGCCCTCGTACTTGGCCGGTCCCATGCCGCTCGCGATCGGGCCGACAGGAACGGGAAAGGCCTCCGTTTACCCACCGACCCGAGCGCAGGTGGGGATGACAAGAAGAGATGCCAGACTTCAAGAAGTCTTGCCAGCCGCGGACTAGCGGTATCCGCTTGGTTCCCAGGGGAAACCTGCATCTTGAGCCAAAATGGCTTGAGCCAAAATGGCTACGGAGGATGAGGAGAGAAGGAGGAGGAGGAGGAGGAGGAGGAGGAGGAGGAGGAAGAGGAGGAAGAAGAGGAGGATGCATCGGGCGCCGCGGCCTCTTCAGGACGCTCCGGACCGCTTCGGACAGGTTAGGTGGCATATGATGGGAGCTTCGTTTGTCGAACTTAGCGTCGCCTGCGCCCCACACTAGTGCAATTTAGTGCAATTTAGTGGCGTTTAGTGTGGCGCGGCGGGAGGCGCTCGTGCAAGCAATTTAATGTAATTTAGCGTAATTTCGTGGCGCGTAGTGCAATTCAGTTGCGTCTAGTGCAATCTAATGCAATTTAGTGCAATTTAATGCAATTTAGTGCAAGTTAGTGGCGTTTGGTGCGCCCCACACTAGTGCAATTTAGCGCAATTGAGTGGCGTTTAGTGTGGCGCGGCGGGAGGCGCTCGTGCAATTTAGTGCAATTTAGTGTAATTTAGTGGCGCGTAGTGCAATTCAGTGGCGTTTAGTGCAATTTAGTGCAATTTAGCACAAGTTAGTGCAAGTTAGTGGCGTTTGGTGCGCCCCACATTAATGCAATGTAGCGCAATTTAGTGGCGTTTAGTGTGGCGCGGCGGGAGACGCTAGTGCAATTTAGTACAATTTAGTGTAATTTAGTAGCGTCTAGTGCAATTTCGTGGCGATTAGCGCAATTTAGTACAATCGACTGCAATTTAATGCAAGTTAGTGGCGTTTAGTGCGCCCCACACTAGTGCAATTTAGTGCAGTTTAGTTGCGTCTAATACAATTTAATGCAATTTAGTTCGCCTGCGGGAGGGACAGGAAGAAAAGAAAATTTGAAAAAGGTTGCGGCCGATCTTAGGAATCTGGCATTGCTCGCACAACTGCGATTTCGCGCGCGCGCACCGACCGGCGTGCACGAGCAATGCTACGCAACACTAAACAACACTAATACACACTAAATGATCACGAAGCAGGAAGCAAGACACCATTGGGTGAAAAAGAAAGCTCCCATCATTTGCCACCTAAATAAGACAGGGTCGCGCGGGCGCGGCAGGACCGCCCAAAAGCCCCCGGGGCAGGGCTGCGCAGGCGAACTAATCCGAGAGGCCCCTCGCCCCATGGATGATTGGCCCGCGTGGTCCCGGGCCCCCCTGGTCCACAGCACCAGCGCCCTCTGGCTTTGGCCTCGCTGGACCTCCTGGGAACAAAAGGTTGTTGCTCTGATTATGCCGCCAGAAGGTTGGCGGGGAAGGTTCCCAACTCCGTCCGTTCAACATTGGCCTGTAGTGAGACTGACAAGAACGACTCACAAACCGCCCTCCAGTGAGAAAGGGTGTTGCTGTTCGGAGGGTGAGGCACTTGCATTCCGATGCCAATTTCGATTGCAACATGTGGTTCGATGTGAATTTCGACCTGCATTACGATTGCATTCGGATTTGCATGTGGATACGTATTCCGATTTGCATAATGATGATCATTTCGACTTTATGTCGTTTTGCATTCCGATGTGCGCTCGTCATTTTAATCCAAAATGCATTCAGGTGGCCTTCCGATATACAAATGTCTTGCCATTCCAGAAATTGATGCCGATTGCAACGTTTTGCCATACGCTGTACATTGATACTTTCAATCAGATTTCAATGTCGGATCGCATGTCGGCAACAACTGTACATCTCAGATTGCCTGTCATTGTTCATTTCGAATTGAATTGCATTATGGTCCGCACGTCGACCTGCACTTCGACTTGCGACTCGCTTTGCATATACTTGTCAACCCAATGCGAATTGCGATTTGCTCTCGCCACCGGAAAATCACGGGACGACACGTGAGACAAACACGTGACAACCCACGGGACAACCACAGGACAACCCGCGCGGCAAGCTGTGACAACCAGAGGGACAACGAACGAGTTTGACAGCCAAGGGACTAGACAATGACATTCGAACTGCCGCGACACGCGCCGCAGACTCCCGTGCGCTCTCGCTGGCTCAACTCTCGCACCGCCAATCTGATTTGGGAAAAAAGTAAAAAGTACGAGATGCACGCAACCAAGTGTGACAACCAGAGGGACAACAACTCACAAGACGCCCCACAAGACAACCACGGAACAACCCACAGGACGACCTCGGGGCAACCACGGGACTGCCGAGGGACACCCTCGGCCGTGGGAGAGACTTCTGCACCACGTGGCCCCGGCCACGCGGGCACACCGTCGCCCGCTCTGGCAGCAGACCGATCTCAGACGTCTTGATACCTGAGGGTGGCGCTCGTGATCTTTTTCCTTTCGAACGGTGCTTCCCAGCTCCGCGGCTTGCTTAAAGCTCGGACCGATGAGAGAGGAAACCAGCACCTTCGCCTGGCCCGCGCGCTCGGCACGTGCCGAAGCCCGCCCGAAGCCAGAGCCCTGTGCAAACCACTGCGCGCCCAGAGTGCCCAGATGGCCGCACGCGGCCCCCCGGTCGTACCGAGAGGGCTGCTAATGCGCCGCATGATAGGGACGCTCCAAGACTGCACCAACCCATTCAAAAATGGCCCCGACATCTCAAAATTGTTTTGCTCATTCCTATCCGTCCGCGCATGATGCTCTCCCGGGGAGACGTGAGACTCGGGCTCGGGGGACTCGGGTTGGCCTGACGGGGCCATCATGACAATAACGAGACCCAATCTGACATTTGACGCGAGCTCCCGCTGCAAACATCCCACGAAAACTGGACCGTCGAAATCCGGGACGCGCTCGTCAAAAAGCGTCGGCAAACCCACGTTCCGGCGCACTCGAGTCGTACGGTTCCCCGATTCTCGGATGTCTTCAAGACGGCGCCCAGACACTCCGACACGGCTCTGCTATCTTCCGTTCTGGTAGAGCGGGGGCCAGCGGCAGAGGGCGACGCCCTTACGGATCCGGCCGCTCCCGCCCTGCGGGTTGGGCCGTGCGAGACCTCTCTGACAGAGTGTTTGGCGCAGTCTTAAGCCCCATTCGCCAGTGCCTGGTCAAAAACCTCCCTGAAAGTCCCTCCAAGGGGGCCCCACTCTGCCGCCGGCCCCCCCCCTCCTTCAAGGTCCGGAACAGCCCGGGGACGACCCAAGAGCGCCCCAAGCCGGTCCAAGAGAGTCCCAAGCAATCCAAGAGAGCCTCCAGACTGCTCCAGACGCCCAAGATTGCCTCTAAACAAGCCAAAACGCCTCCAAGACGGCCCAAGAGGCCTCCAAGAGCACCCCCAAGAGAGCCCCAAAAGACAAAAATCAGTTATTTTCTCGATGGTGTTTGAAGGATTCTCGCGTTCTCGCCATTTCGGACGCTCCGAGACGGCCCAAGAGGCCCGCAAGATCGCCCCAGGACGGCCCAACAAGCCCCCAAGAGAGCTCCAAGACAGCGCAAGAGGGCCCCAAGACGGCCCAAGAGGCCCCCGGGACGGCCCAAGAGGGGCCCCAGGACAGTCCCAAGAGGGCGCCCAGAAGGGGGACCCGAGTGAACATTTCGAGCTTTCGGTCCCAAGCCGCCTGTTCCCGCGACTCGGCGGCCTCCGAGGCCCGAAGACTTTGAGGCCTGGGGCCCAGGGAGTCATCCCGAACAGAGCTGGAGGCGCAGGACTGCCCATCAGGTCGGGCATGTCGCCCCCTAGAGGCAGATCTTGAAGGACAAATGCAAAATTGCCAAATCACATTGGAAAGTGGACGAACAACAATTCGCTGGCCCAACGGGCCAGAGGCGTGCTAAGATCTCCAGTAACTAACTGGTTAACAATTCTCTAGTTCGCGCGCGCGGGGCGGCCCCTGGGGGTCCCCAGACGAAAAGTACCCCGGGCGACTCCCGGCTGATCCCCGGGCGACTCCACCAGAGCGCCCCATGAGCGCACCAACAGGGCTCCGAGACGTCCCCGAGAGCCCCAAGAAAGGCCAAGAGGCCCCCAAGAGGCCCCCAAGATGGTACACGAGGGGTCCGACATGCCACAAGATCGCTCCAAGACGCCCAAGATAGCCCCCAGACGCCCCAAGAGGCCTCCAAGAGCACTCCCAAGAGGGCCCCCGGAGGCAAAATTCATTGTTTTTCCTTAGGTTTTTGAGAGATTTTGGAGCTTCCACCTTTTCGGCTTCCCGACGCCCCAAGACGGCCCAAGAGGCCCCCAAGATCGCCCCAAGAGGGCCCAAGAGGCCCCCAAGAGGGCCCCAAGATGGCCCAAGAGGGCTCGAAGACGGCCCAAGAAGCCTCCAAGACGGTCCAAGAGGGCCCCAAGAACGCCCCCAAAGGGGCCCCAGAGAGGGAACACGAAACAACATTTCGAGCCCTCGGCCCTAAGAAGCCCCTACGAGGCCCCAAGAGGCCCCTAAGAGGCCCCAAGAGGCCCCCACGAGGCCCTCAGGAGGCCCCCAAGAGTCCCCCAAGCGGCCCCAGGAGGCCCCCCAAATGCCCCCCCGAGCGCCCCAGGAGTCCCCCAAGCGGCCCCAGGAACCCCCAAAGCGCCGCATTGACACCAGGCCCTCGGGCAAACGGCAG